AACTTTATGTATTTAAACACAAATTCAACAGTTTCCCTTTTCTAGTTCCTTCCAATCAGTTCTTTATGTTCCTCTGTAATTTATCTTCATCCTTTACTTTCTTTGTTCCATTTTATTACCTTAGATTTTAATTTAAAGGTATTTTGGAGGATTTTTTCGCAAATTTTTGAGAAGATCAGCCCTCTCCGCTTAAAGAAAAACTGCACATGCACAACCCTGTACCCGCTCTCAAGAGGGAACGCCTATTAAATGCGTGCGAGAGCATGCACAAGCCCATTTCTCCTCGTGCACGCTTTGTCTAAAAGTTGTTGATCTTATAGCTCATACAAGCTTACGGTGTCGTCCGCCCTAAACCCTAAATCCCTCAATCAGTATATAAAGCGGGGACTATATAGTGGACTTTATAATGAACATAGTTAACTTAACGTTCAGGAAGATGATCACTATTTTTTACTCCCCGTTGGTCAGGTAAATCCTCCGCCACTGCGCCTGTGCCATCTTCAGTTGCCATTGTCAGGTAGCGACAGCGGGCTACTTTGACAGCAAATCCCATAATGCTTTGCGAGGATAGCTCTCTGCGCAAAGCATTCTGGGATATATCGGCCTCTTGTGAGGCCTTTCTTCTCATACAATTCGTAGACACCTTTTCTATTATGACCCTCTGCCATTTTCAGTGACTGGCTGAAACTGTAGCTCACAACAGATATATGTGTGAAAGTGCTAAATGGGGACGAGGACGGCCTTACGTAAACATATCACCAGAATGATTGACAATTAGGAGGACCACTTATTTAGATGACCCACATAAAAGATCATCCTCTATACCTTTAATACTTAGAAAAAAGAACATCCTTCACTATACCTTTAACTTTATAAAATGTAATTACGTTAATGTAATTGTCCAGGTCTTCAGTCTGAGGGTCTGTACAGAATATCCGGCTTCAGTGAGCTGATCGAGGATGTGAAGCTAGCCTTCGACAGAGGTGAGTGTGGCCCCCTGTGGTTCCTGGACTACCGCCTTCTATCGTTAGCTTAATGAAACTGAGCGATCTCCCATCCACAGATGGGGAAAAGGCGGACATTTCGTCGAACGCTTACGAGGACATCAACATCATCACCGGCGCCCTCAAGCTGTACTTCAGAGAGCTGCCTATTCCCCTCATCACGTACGACGCCTACCCACGCTTCATAGAGACAGCAAGTGGGTCTTTTCCCTCTTTGAACTACGGTTATGGCTAAGGGTCCGCCGTTTTCTTTCATTCTGTATTCATTGGTTTTGGTTTGTGTGTGTCGTCATAGAGATTACAGACCCAGAAAAAAGACTGGAATCCCTCCATGAGGCCCTGAAGCTGCTGCCGCCAGCCCACATTGAGACGCTGAGATACCTCATGGCTCACCTCAAGAGGTCCGAACCATCATCTGTTGGCCAATGGCTTTGGCATAAGATTAATGTACAAATAATCTGGACATTCAATGTCTAGAAAGATGGTTTCTAAAAGCTTCAGATTGAGCCAGATTAAGAGCCTTGTTTGGCTTTCCGTCCAAACACGTTGGTGGTGCGATGGTTTGGGCCTGCTTTATTGGCTTTAGCAATAAATACACCGGATGCATAACACAATGTAAGCGCAGCTTTCCGTTTTAATCAGTAAAATGATTTACACCGGACGCGTAATATGCTTGTTCAACGGCATTATTTGCACGTAGATACCGGACGCCATTGCTAATTTAGGATGAGTTTCAAATTTCAGATATCTATATACTTCAGTTTGAGCTAGGAAGAAACAGGAACAGTTTCGTAGTTCACTTCAGGCCAAAGTGGGTCTGCTATTTGGTGCTTTTTCTGCAAGATAATACCAAACGCCTACAGTTATTACGGCCCAACCAGCAGATGCTGGTAGTTTTGACATGCTAACAAAATACATGTTTGATTTCTCATCAGATTGGTGAAGATGCAGTTTTTTTAGGTGATCGTAAGTTACTTTATAACTTTCACAGATTGTACAGACACAAAAGCTCATCTTCGCTCAGAGTTCCGTTGCTAAACCCGCGTCTGGCGTAAATATCAGTTTTCAAAATGCCGCTTTTCAGAACTTACACGCTTTTATGCAACCGGTGTATTTACTGTTTTAGAACGACATATTGGAATTAATGGAAGTATGACTTCTCTGAATAACCGTAAGGGCGAAAGTCCAAGTTCCAGCTGTAGCGCCTCCTGAAGGCCTCTGGCATTACTGCATTTTTCCTGTATACCCGCAGATTTAAAAGGTGCTTTTAAAGATGACACCACATTCAGCCCTTGAGTTTAAAACCTACATCAGAGAACAGAACAAATGTCTGATCAGGTGGTGTCTTCTGTTTCGTTGCTTGATGTTGTGTAGCTTAGGTAGTAGCTTAGCATTAAGTTCCTAAAAAAAAAACTATTTTATACAAAAGGAAAAATATTTATCTTAACAGTCTAATAATATTAATGCAAATGAAGAAAGAGAACAGGTCTTACATCCTGAATGCTCCTCCTCAGGCAGCTTTTTCTCTTTTTGCTTCCTCTAGTCAAACTCTCGACTAGAGGAGGAGAAATGTGGAAACCTGTAAGGTTAGAGTTAGGTTCTACTTTCTAGCTGTTAAATGTTGGCTCCTGTTTCTCCATCCAGGGTCACCGATTACGAGAAAGAAAACCTCATGCCCAGCGAAAACCTGGGGATCGTCTTCGGCCCGACGCTGATGAGGGCACCCGAACTGGACGCCATGACAGCACTCAATGATATCCGATACCAGAGGCTGGTGGTGGAAACACTCATTACCAATGAAGACGTTCTGTTCTGAGAGAAACGGACCAAAACCAGCCTCCCATTAGGAGGAGGCTCCGGAAACAGCCGACAAGATGAAGGAGACTTGAGATTTAGCGATGAAGAAAAGAAGCGAAGGAGGGGTTTTATTTAGAAAGAAAATTAGAGGCTTTGGATGAAGTCCAGGATGGAAAGTTGGGTGTTTTTCCGTATTTTTATGTAATCTTTTACAATCAGCAAACTTGAAGACGATAAGCATGTGACAGCTGAAACTCTGAGCCTTGTTGGGTAAGAATGAAAAACCGCGCGGCGGGGAAACACTGGGACTTATTCTTTAGTTGTTTTTGTTTTGAAACGGATGCCTTGAAAGTGTTAGCTCAAATTTCTTTAGTTTTTCTGATTGTTTATTTTGCAAACGGACCAACCAAGATAGGCTTCACAGAGGGGACTTCCAAATTAAACTGTGCCACAAGATCATTCCTGTACGATTGGGCCATTTTTGGACGGTTAGTAAGAAATCAGGAAATTGTTTATTTTTTTCTCTGTAGTGGTGATGCCTGTTGGATTTAATCTTATGTCGATGGAAAGTCTGTTTATTTGCCCTTTAAATTGTGCCTCATTTTAATTAGGTGAGAAATTAACCAAGTTTAATTCGCTGATGTCAAACAGGCTCATTCTAGGTCTGGTTCTCCAGGTGATTACAATCCTGATGTGTTAACATGTGCACCACTACTGTTCTTTTTATTCATGTCTTGCTTTTTTTTTTCAAACCTCAATCTTCAGATCCAGGAAACAAACAAGAAAGAATTTGCAAATGTGATTTTCATATAATAAGGCACTATTCAGTGGAAAAATAACAGATTTAGTTCCAAGACGAGTTAAAAGAAAGAAATAACCAACTGTCTCTGTAATGGAGTATTAGGCTATTGTGGATAAAAGAAAAAAAAAGTACATTTCTGACACACACAAAAAAAAAGACTTTTAAAAAGAATATCAAAAGTAATACATTTCCATGAAAAAGGCAGAATTTTCCTGATATTGCATAGTGACAAATTTGCTAAATTTTCAGAAATATGTGATTTAAAATCTTAGAAAACAGTTTTTAATTATTTTTGTTGCAAATTTCCGAATTTTCAGTTATTTAAGTGTTGAATGTTTTTATTTTTTTAGGATATTTATACTTTTGATGTAAAATACTTGATGTAAAAAAATAGGTATTCCTTCTTTGGGAAAAATGTACAACTTTTAAAAATTGCTAATTAAACTTCAAGTTGTTCATTTTTACTGGAGGAAAATTTGAATCCTTTTTTTTCTTTCATCTACAATGGCACCATTAAAAATTCCCTTTACTTTTTTTTCTTTCGAAACTGCAGCATATATATATATATATATATTTTGTATTCTTACCAATAAGACAATGAGACGGTCACGTCTGTGTTCTGTCTGTACTATGAAGGCAGTATGTTTATTTTCGTCTTCTCTAGGGAAGAAGCAGAAGTAGACAGCAAGATGAATGAGCACCATCCGTTATTTCAACCTTTTCTGTTTTAATTTGACATTTTCACCGTAAGCTGAACTTTAACTACAAGGCAGCCTTTTAAAGAAACCTTTGAGCCTCCTGTTACTGTCATCCCACCATTCCTGGGCCACATGTTCATGGGTTCTTTTTTTTTTGCACCAGAAAATTATTATTTTTTTAATGATAAATTAGCCTGAGCTTCTCACCCGACTGAAATTTAGCTTGTTAGTTTGATCAAGGGATCAAACATATCCAGCAGTGACGAAGGTTTGATCCAGCTAGTTCTATCCTACCGGTCCAGTGCGGTTCATAATGTTTGTAATAAGAATGAGTTTTCTCATAAAACTAACATGCCACTTGAAGGCTTTTATTTTTTTTTCTATTTTCCCTTTTTACTTTTTTTTTTATTGTTTTTACCCCCACTTTTGTCGGGGGAGGGGCTGTTAATTGAATTGATAACAACTTAAAGAACTAAAGAGCAAAGCAGCCTAGTTGGATAATCACCATGTTTTATGTTAATTATTTCCCCTTACATCGTCAAACCTAAATACTATGATCTGATTATCCCTCTGAGACCTATGGAACCTGCTTTTTTTAGCTTATAAGATGTCTTCTTTTTTTATTGTCATTGCTGTAAAGTATTTTCTATATGGTTTATGCATGTTGTAATTAAATTATTAAATAAAGCTTTCATGTCACGATCTGAATGTGATGTATTTTTAATAAAGGAAGTCGGCTTTTTAGAGTGCTGCCTTTAAGGGTATTGATTAAAAGTTGGTGGAAAACCTCGTGTTTGATTGTGTTAATAACGCATCTATACAATCATTGTCTCATTGTTAAGTCAGTTTAGGACTTGTTCTATACATAAGAAAAACATAAAAAAAAAAATTATGTTAAAATATAATATAATAAAAAAATTTAATGTCTTTTTTGTTCAATTTATCTAAATTAAAATGTGTTTTTATTATTATTATTATATTTTTTAATAGGCCGAGGGTGTCACCCTGCACGCGCTTTGATATCAGCTAAGGTGATTCGGTTCGCTAAATTAAGGCGCGTGCCGGCAGCCATGTTTTTTTTTCTTCGTCGTCAACCCGCGTTGGATTTTAATATATGGATAGCTTCTTCTTGTCACGTTTTAAAGTTATAAAGTTATAAAGTTAGTTTTGTTCTTTTTTTTAAACGTTTTTAAAGAAAGGGAACCTAAGAAGAGGAACGAGAAGGCTGCCATCCGAACTAAGGTGTTTTACTCGCCTTAGCAACTCTTCAAGTTATCTAATGGTTATTCTCTATGCGAAAAAGGATAACCAAAGATGTTGACTGACTTTTTTCGAGTGGAATCACTTTTAAATAATACTACAAGTTAAAGATGGACCTGAAGTCACACTTGTATTATTTGGCTAAAAATGGGGACACCCCAGAGTCGTCATTGGTGGACGAAGAACCATACTGGAACCTGAAATATCCTCCTTATTTTTCTTTTAAAACATCAAATTTAAATCCATGTCAATAGCAGGTAAAATAGATGGATGAGGCAATGATCTAATAACTGTTTTACTGAAGTTTATTTGAGATAATTCAAGATATTTTATAGTACTATCTTAGGAATGTTGACAAAATAACTGTAAGAGTTGTTTGATTTTCCTGATTGTGTTTTTATTTATTTATGTATTTTTTTTCATCTAACCGGATGTAGTATTTGGAACGAATGCTTACATATTAATGAACTGTAAAACATATGAACCTGAAAGGGAAAAATTGAGAAGAGTAGTTGAAATGACAGGCCAAGAATGGAGTCTTAAAGGATTATTGGGAAATAAAGGAAATATAAAGGATGTTTATAGATTAAGGAAAGCATTATTTAGTTATCTTCAGAATGCAAAATTAAAAAATAGAATTTAATAGATGTAAAACAATGTTGCTACACACTCATGAACAGTAGGTGGCGGTATGCACCTTAAAGTTGCTTGCGATCCGCCATGATAGAAAAGAAGAAGAAGAAGGAAGGAACGCTTTCATTGGATGAAAAGAAGCTGAGTGTGATTGGCTGATGGTATGGTTCATTTACATACATTGCTGAAGTTGCGAGCGCAGAGAGTCGAGCGAGCGGAGAAACAGCCGAGCGCACAGCTGGTGTTGAGCGCGGAGAGAGAGCAGGTCGAGCGAGCGCGAGCAGAGACGGATTCGAGCACGCGCAGAGATGAAACTGAGCGCGATAACAGTGTGTTGAGAGGGTTTTTCAGAGTTGAGCGCGCGCCAGACCGGTTTTGCGCGCGCGCGTGTTGTCTCACTGCGCGCTCGGATTGGTTCCTGCGCGCTCAAACCGATGGCACAAATATCTCTCCATAGAATTCCAGTATTTGAATCTAGTGTTTGGGGCTGACGTCAAGGATGTTTTTATCGCCACAAGAAAATTGATATATAGCGGAGGCGTGGTGATATGACGACCTATTTTTTTAAGTCTTCTCAGGCCTCGTTGGCGCAGTAGGCAGCGCGTCAGTCTCATAATCTGAAGGTCGTGAGTTCGAGCCTCACACGGGGCAGAATTTTTTTTCTCGATTATTGTTCCGTTTCAAAAACGATTTCAAAGATTGGCCTTTATGCGTGAGCTATTATTACATATGAACAGGATTCAAGCAGTGTCGATGAATATTAAACCCCGTTGACAGTTTTTGGCGTAGTTGTCTGCATTTTTAACCGGAAATACGTAATTGTTGTGCACAGCCCGGCTAGCTCAGTCGGTAGAGCATGAGACTCTTAATCTCAGGGTCGTGGGTTCGAGCCCCACGTTGGGCGCATAGTATTTTTTATTTATATACATTGATATAATGCATTTATGTATCCCTGAATAACACAACAATGTATTGCTTGCTTTTTTATTTATGTTTGGTTAAATCTATATTTCTGTAGCTAATAGGGCTCATATAAATAAATGTCAAATACTTACCATTGACCCCAACTATGCAATAACACATAATGCAATATGAAAGTATATATATATATATATATTAGGGATGGGACGATTTATGAAAACCGTTCGGTTCGACTGTCTCGGTTCGGTTCGCGTGTGTTTCGTTCGGTTCATGCACTGCTCCCTTTTCTCATTGAGGAAGCGATTACACTCCAGAGCAGAAGGTGGCGGTACTGCGACCAAAGCCAACCGCCAGTAGTAAACAAGAAGAAGAAGAAGCGAAGCAGCTTAGCCGGGTGTAGCAGGGAAAAAAATCAGAATTGCGTCGGACTGGCGAGCGGGAAAGAACTGGAGTTGGAAGACGCGCCAGCAGCACTTTATAGGTCTGCTGTATGGGAGCGCTTTGCATTTAGAGTGACCTACGATGACAGCGGAAAGAAAGTTGTGGATAAAAGTGCAACAGTGTGCAAGCATTGTGCAACACGTTTTGTTTATGCTAACAGCAACATGTCATGCTAACCCCGAAATCCCTCATACTCCGTCAGCAACCCCCGCTTTTGTGAGCAAAAAGCAAATTGAGGCGATGCAGGTAGGTTTTTGGTTGTTCGAAAACAGGGTTTTACCTAGAAATATTTCTTAGAGTGTACACCTTGGTGTACTACAACTTCAGGCAAGCTTTCTTGCAGGCCTCTATTTCTATTTGATCAAAACAGACTACCAGTGGAATAAATAAAAATGAGATTTTGTGTCTCTTTGAACCTATAAAATACTAGGTTCATTTATTGAAAAAGTACAGCTACCATAATGGTATACAGAACATTATTTAGACATTTTCCAGCAGCTGCAATTTTTCTGCACGGCAATACGAAAAAGAAAAATGCAAATAAAATTAGCAAATATTGCCCCACTGTGGTACTTGTTGTATGTTACTATCACAAGTTGTTGAGGACTGCCCACAAACATTGTTGATTCTAATTATAGCCCCGGCCTGTACAAGAGTCTGACCATTATTTACCTCCGCCGACAGCCAGACAGGCCATTATTAGGGACCCAGCCGCTAATAGAATACAAACAAATATTAGAGGATTTATGGTAAGTGCAAAGATGTGTATGTTTTTAAGTGTAAATGCATGTGTTACGATTAATGAGCATCACCAAGTGTTCACGCTTGGTGGCGCCACATCGTACAAGAGGGTAATGTAAGTAAGTAAAGCGATCTGGCTGTAACTGTCATACATGGAAAGGGACTGGCAGTTGAATGGGTGTGTGCACACGTGCGTTGTTCTGTGTGTGCGTGCATGCGTGTCAGCGGGATGGACCGCCCCGCCCTTTTACATCCACTTATTTATTTGATGGTTAACTATGATAGGATTTTCTTCATATGTGTTAAAATAGCCTCTTGCATATAAATGTAATTTATTGACACCTTGCAAAACATGGTATAGGTTTGAGATCTGGTCTTGTCAGAAAATGTATTTTAATTTACCTAACCTTTATTACTTTTAATGTTCCAATAATGTATATTATACATAGTTTTAAAAAATGTACCTACTTCTGCATTCATATCAGAACCTATGATTACATGATATACGTAGCATCCGCGTTAGCTCTGAATTATACAACCAAAATGCTATAGTAATTTAATAAAAAATAAATTCTTCTTAAAAGAAATTCTTCTTATACACAGATACCAGAGCTCAACAAAATAGTTTACTGTGAAAAAGCTGTACTTATTTATTGATAATAATCTCTTGCTCTAGAGCAGACTCGGTTCCGCAATGGGATCTAATTTTTGAAAAATCTGTGACATCACATAGAATAATTAAATATATTACTGTTAAACAGTTCAGTGGTGGTACATTATTATGCAACAACACAAGCATAGTCCATATTTCAATGTTTAACCATCAAGCATAACTAACATTTTTCCAAATTTTATTGATCTGTTAAATAGATCTGTTACATTTGTGTTTCCAACTATGCTCCTTTGTCAATACAGTATTCACACGGGGGGTTCCAGTTCCATTCTCAGCCAGTGCATCTTCTTTTTGTCCCTTTAGAAATATATGGAGAAAGTTGCTGGCATTATTCAAGGTTTACTGAATTGACTTCTTTGTGGGAAGTGGTGTTTCAGAGGTAGAATTGTCCTCTGTCACTCTGGGACCATTTACTTATTGGTGTAATTCCCTGAAACCTTGACAAGATGGACACAGGTTTGAGACCTGGTTTTGACATATGTGAAATAGCTCATGATCTGAAAAATAAAAAGTGCGGAATTAAGGATGTTATCATATTATAAAAGAGGGAGTCACCTCAGCCCTTTGATATGGTAAAATGTAATAGGTTATTCTACTGTTCGTTTTCGGAGACCCAGGGACTCAAGAATGTAGGCATTGGTGGTTCAGTGGTAGAATTCTCGCCTGCCACGCGGGAGGCCCGGGTTCGATTCCCGGCCAATGCATCCCTCTTTTTTATCCGTTTAGACATATATTAAGGAAAGAGGAGCCATTCTCTCTGAGAATCGGCTCCCCAGACTATGTGTTTGAGACCAGGCATCTCTTTGGACATATGGAGAAACTGAGAGGCTGCAGGGGTGGCTGGACGAAGCAGAAGAATACTTATTTACCATCTGTCGCTATGGCAAACATAAGTGCTTCTTGTAAGTAATGGCTGAAATGAATGATGGCTGACGTGGCTGAAGCTCGCTCTTCCGGATCTCCGGCATTTTAAATGCTTAAAACCATGCATATATAAAACGGCTGAGGACAAAATCATAGTGGAGGACAA